GGGGGGGGGGGGGGGGGGGGGGGGGGCTTGCGTCGAGCGTAGTGCGGTAGCCCGATCGAATTCGTCGAATCGACGAAACCGAGATCGAACAGAAGAGTTCTCTTACCTTGTGCTGAGGCGATCCGTTCGATTTGGTACCGCTGCCGGTCGAGTCGTGGCTGGGTCGTCGAGAGTTGGATTGTCTCGTCCCGGATCGGCCGAGGGTGGCCGTTTTCGCGGGACTGACGTTCGCGGTTCGCACGGAGCCAGAACTTCCGCCGCTTCTGCTGGGCGACGAGTTCGCCGAGTTCTTTCCGTTCTGCGTTTGATTGCGAGCTTGGTAGGACTGCTCCTGGCTGCCGGTCGGCGGGAGCACGGACGCTCTGGACGTGCATCTGCTCAGGCTCGAGCACTTGGACCTGGGCAGAGTGGAGCAAGGGGATCGATGTCGTCTGGAACTTCTGGGGGTCGAGTTCGCCAACAAGCTGGAAGAGTCGCCGCTGGCTTGGCGTCGATGTCGCCTGGGCAAAGTGGCGGATCGCACGGAACTCGAGTCGTCCCAAACTTGAAAGCTGGCCTGCGACTGGTCCAGACCCTCCATCATCTGCAAACGACCGTTGTATCGCCGTTGTATTACGTTGATTCTATCGACGTTCTCGTCGTCGGCTCGATTCGACGAACGAACGCGAGCAACCGTCGCGGAAAAAAAACACGGTCCGCTTCGTCGAACTCACCGAAGGGCTGGCGGCTCTCGTTTGCGTGGCCACGCTGTGCAGGTGAACGACGCGCGGGTTGAACCACTCGGTAGGAGGATACTGAGCGCTGAACGTGCCCATCAACGGCGCACCCTTCCTCCGCGTGCTGCGCCGAAACAGCCTGGAGAGCAGACCTATTTTCTCTGAAAAAATCCCGGAGAAACCTTGAGAAAAAAGGGACCGACGTCGTCGATTTCGTCGGTGAGAGATCGGGGATCGAGGAAGGGCTCGCCAGCTAAGGGTGACTAAGAAGCGTTCGAGGAGACAGGCTGCGGAGTCGCTTCGTTTCGGTGAGAAACGCGAGCGACGGCGGAGAAAGCATGGTTCGACGATCCGCTCCGATCGGATAATTCGCGGGCAAAGATCGCTCGCGATCGGCAAGCGGGAAAAGCGTTGTATCGGATACCACCGTTCTCTCTCTCTCTCTCTCTCTCTCTCTCTTTCTCTCGTACGCTACACCGTCTCTCTATCCCTCGATCGCGTTCGAGCGATCACCCATCACCGAAAACAATCCCTTCCCCGACTCGGCTCGACTCGACTCGACTCACTGGTTGGGCTGTGCGGCGCGCTGTCGGTGCTCGCGTATTCCGCGCTCGACGAAGTGTCGCTTCTTTCCGGCCTTCGCGGCAAAGACCGCGAACTTCCGCTTCTGTGCAGACGCCTGGCGGAGCCCCACAGCCGCAGAGAGTGTCGCCTCTCGAGGCGTCCAGGCATCGACCGACACCTAGCGAACAGGACCTTGTCGTTCGGGTTACCTGGAAAAAGATCGGAATTCGTTAATCCTTCGACTCGTTCGGGAATTCGCGTTCGCCCGGCGAGTCGCGACGCTCTCCCACCCGGTTCTCGAGAAGTGGAACACCCTCGTTCCTGATTTTCATCGCGGCGCAACACGGCCGGCGGCGGCGGCGGCGACGACCGAGTGGGTTACCAGCGTGAGAATCGCTCGAGAAACGAGTCGGAGAAAAGTAGGAAGATCGTATACGTGTGGCCCCCCACGTGATCTCTGCTAGCAGCGCGTGTAACGGTAGACAATGTCGTGGTCGTGACTCGTGACCGATAGCTAATATATCGGCCGTGCTAAACGCTTTCCAGGCATCGCCGAGTTGGCACGGTTCGTTCCCGCCGCTACGTGTACCATCGGCGATGCTCGCGTGCGCGTCCTCCATCTCTACGGAGGTCTCGGCGTACCTACGAATACGAATACGAGAGCACGAATCGGAGATAGGTGCGCAAGGTGTTTCTCCGCGTCGACGCGCCAGAAAATTCCAATTTCGACGCGCACCGCTTCGAAACTTTGACCGAACGACGAAAAGCAACGGCACGCGACATCGTTCCGCTTTCCGCGTTCCGTATTCCGCATTTAGGCTGCGCGTGCAACCTCGCGCGCTCCTTCCAAAGAAACGCGTACAGCGACTCCCGCTCGTTGGACCTCTCGCGCCATCGTGCCACCGATCCGTCGGCCCCGCGTATCCGGGACCCGTTGGAAAATATTTTCGACGGAAGCGACGGATTTTCCGCTTTCGATTCGATCGACCAAGTCGGCGGGACGATCTCGAGGACGTCGAAATTGTACGTGTACGAAACGGAAGCGCGCGGCGTCGAGTTCCCACGGTGGCCGATCGTGACGGGTCCTCGGGGCGAAACAATGCGAAAATGGTTCGCGAGCATGAATATTACATCGCAGAATTTATTCGAGCGTTCCCGAAGAAGTTGGATTTCTTGCTCTTGCATCGAGTATGCGCACGATGTGCATGCCCGGCACGCCACAGCCCGCGACGCGGCATCGTTCGGCGCAACATTGTGCCAGCCGGCATGACGCGGCCCGGTGATACCGGGACGATATACGATATACGATACGCGATATACGATATACGATGTACGATATACGATATACGTACGCGTACGCGCGCGCGTTCCACGGGACGGGAACGTATTATCGCGGAATGTCGCGATCGCGTTTACCATATCCTGGTTCGGGACGGTCTCCGGATAAAGAAAATTCTCGAGTTTTCTTCGCGCCGAGAGAGAGAGATACGCCCGCCCCGCCATTTGAATTTCTAATTCGGGCCGCGGTCGCTGCTCGTGGACATAAATTCGCGGTCGCGGACGACGGGGCACTCTAAATGCCGAGATAACGCGGGGCGCAATTTAAATCGAATCGCGAGAATTTTTAGAGCCGATCCGCCGGTGGAATGCGCGATCTTCCGGCGCGAGCCGCGCGGCTGCGTGGCTGCCAAGGACGACGACAACATAAACGCACCGGACTCGTCCATCGAGTTCGGGAGAAAAAGGTAGCCGCGCACGCGAGCGGGTAGCGAACTTCTCCCGGACGCTCGGAACGATTCCCGAACACGTGCCGAACGAGACCGCGACGATTCGCGTCTCGCGAACCTCGATTCCGATCGATCTCTCTCGCCTCTCGCCTCTCGCCTCTCGCCGAGTCGCGCGACGGCTAAAAATCCACCGAAATCGATGGGTTACACGGAGTTGCAGAGTTCTCCGGTAGCGCGCGACGCGGAGTAGAGCGGTCGTTACCTCCGCAAATCACGTCCGCCAGATTGGTCTGCACGGCTTGATGCGTGACATCACCGTCCCTCAGGGTCAGCATCTCGCCGTGCACGAGCGCCATGGCCTCGTCGTTGGTCATCAGCATGCTGCCCTGACCCCTGGACCCGCTCACTTCCCTGGAGCATCGCCTGGAGTTGCTCGAGTCGCGTCTCAGTCTCCTGGTCTCCGGCGTAACGACGAAATAGCCCTGGGACGTATGATAAATCTTCCGTTCCTGCATCAGCTTCGCGAGGGCGTCGTAGACCAGCTCGCGGTTCGGTCTCTGCATCGCCGGGAAAGCGTTCCTCAGAGCGGATCGTAGCGTGTCCAAGGTCGCCGCCTGCCTCTGCGACGTCAGCTCCAGGATCGCCCAACAAAGGGCTTCCGGCAGAGGCGTGAACTGTCCCTGGGCGACCGGGGCGACCAGGCAGTCCTCGATGTCCCCTGCAACACACCGACCAAAGTTCCAATTTTACCTTGAAATTCTAATCGTCGATTCTCTTTCGACGAAACTTGGCTACGACGAACGATCGGTTCACCGCGCGTAATATTTAAGGCGTTCTCCGCGAAACAGGTTATGCACCGTTCGCCTTTCGAGAAAATTATGCGGACTCGGTCGCCGTCCGAGCGTTCAAAGGTCGGGGCTGCGGTTCCCTCGAAATTCGAGGCGCGACTACGAACTTCCCGATAACCGTCGGTTATTTCGGCTTCGGTCGCGATCGTCCGTCTTCGAAGACGATTTCTATGCACCTCCGTTACTCTAAATATCGTTGGCGCTAGGGAAACGCTAGGGATTTTCAATATCCATGGAAATCGACGAGCCATCGTACCGCGCGAATTTTAATTACAAATTGTTTCGGCTCCGTCGGTTCGGCCGAGCCGTCGGAGGTTGTTCGTCGAAGCCTTCGGCTTCGACGCGTCGGGTCGCGCGGAATTCCGTTTTCCAAATCCTTTGACGAATCCTCCGAGAAAAGTTGCCGCGTACCTCTAGCCTCGAAGTCTCCGGAGCAGCGACCGCGTTATTTAAGGGATCGCGTGGCGCCGTGGCGTCGCGAGCGAGAGCTTCGTCGCGATCGATTGCAATATCCGAGAAAGAGAGAAAGAGAGAGAGGAGAGGAGAGAGAGAGAGAGAGAGAGAGAGAGACCTCCGTGGACGCTGGTTTACGTAACGGATGTAAAAGCGAGGCGTAACAATTTCTTAACCGGCCGAAGATCGAGTGAAACCGTTTAATTGCTCGCCAGACTTCGCGATTCAACGCGCCACGGTTGTTCGAGACTCCGTCGGCGCGAGATACTCGCTACCTCGAGATATCGCCGCAACGCGATGCGACAACGCATCGAAGCTGAGAAAATTCTTCGAAATTCGAAACATGCCGTATGCCGTATCGATACGATACCATTGGCTCGCGCGTTGCGGCAACCCCCGACGATAAGTCGTTCGCTACACATTTTGTCTCCGTGGCCCGTGGCCCGGGTCGATTAAGTATTCTCGGCACGACGGGATACCACGAGGAATTTCGAAGCCTCGCGGAGTCGCGGGCTTCGAATAATCCATAGTCTTTTGGTGGGCGTGGACCAGATGTATGGGAACGAACGCGGAACCTTGGGGGATGGAAAGTCACCTCGAGACGTGACCGGAAGCACAAAGGGAGTCGAAAGAGAAAGACGGCGGGTTCCCCCGAGAGAAAGACGTCGCCTCCCGTCCTTTTGCTACAAGCACCGGACGTCGTTCGACGTATGAAATTTTTGGTTTCCGAGCCGACCGAATTACTTTTCCGCTGGCGCGATTACGAATCGTCGCTCGACCGACGCTCGATACGCCGATCGAGCATCGTTAACCGCGGCCAGATTTGCTCCGATTCGTGCCAGTTTCTTCCTCGCGGCTCGAGAAATTCGCTGCTTCGGCTTTTACGCGTGGGAACGCGCCGCGCGGCAGCCGCGAGGCATCGCGCGTTGCCGGGATGCTCTGTAATTAGAATAATTGTAACGTTCTCGAATTTTCTCGACGTCGAGACTCCTCGCCGTACGCGCGAATACGCGCTACGTTCGATTCGAACCGCGATTCGTTAACGACGAACGCGTGGAAGATCGATGCTCGGCGATCGATCGATCGCCAGCGTCGGTGCGCTCGAAGAGCCGCGATGAATCGAGGGGACGAACGAGAATTACGAAGAAGATAAAAGAATCGTTGCAAGATCTCGTATCGTTGCGTAATTACCGATTATTGAGTTGGCGTTGCGGCTCGTAGAAACGGAGGGCAAAACCAACGACTTTCGCGCGCAATTAAAATCGAATCGGTTGGGTTAAATTGGCGCGGTGGCTGGAGGCGAGCCAAATTATCCGTGATTTAGTTTCGAACAGATCTCCGTGCCCGACGACGCTGGGAGAATAGCGAACGTCGAACAGGCGTCGCGGACGATGCGCGCGAACCGTTGTTCGATCGGTACTCGTCCGAATTTAACCTCGAGTATTTCGCAGACGCGCCACGCGAATCCGTCTCCTCTAGACAGCGTTCTCCGAGAGCTTGCTTTCTTTTCCATAAACTGTGTACACCGTACATCGCGCATCGTTCACGGCCGCGACCCGTCACCCGTAACCCGTGACACGATAAGCCCGAGTCGAATACTTTTCGTCCGCTCACCCTCGCTCAGACCCGCGACGAACGCGTTTTAATATATTTCACCCTCGTCCCTGGCAGCCTTATGCAAATTTCAAAGGGCGAGGATATTGCGTCGACCGCCGACCCCCGACGGATATCGATCGGCCGATTCTCGCGTGGAAATTCTGCCCGACGAACGTCGCGCGAACCCGTCGTTCGACCGGTCGACCGTCGTCGATTCTCGATCGTATCGAAATTCGTCGCGTTTCTAGCTTCCCCGCGCGCAGCGGATTTCCACGTGGCAATTCGGAAACTTGGAAACGGTTTCGCCGCGCGGAATCGTGTCGCGTGAAACCTCGGAAGGCCGCGCTCTTTACAATTCGGATAAACGTCCGCGGCAACAATGCGTCCAGCCTCGTGGAACGGGTCGACGGTCGCGGATCACCGCCATTTCCGACGACGGTCTCTCGCCGCTCCGTTCCACTCCCCCGGTTCCCCCGGTTCCCCCGGATCCACCGTTCGCGGACAGGCAGGAAGGAACGAAGCCGTAATTACGTGTCCGGCTACGCTGGAAAACCTACGTGAGAAAACCTACGCCGGGAAACCTACGCCCGCCGGTGGCTCTCGTTAAGGGGTTGCCGCGCGAACAGACCACAGCCTCCTCTCGCGCGGGTCTCGCCAAATTGCGAGACGGCCCCTTCGACGTCCCTCGAAACGAACGCGCGACCCGCTCTTCCTCGACGCTTTCGATTTTCCATTTCTAATCGAAGCGACGCCCGACATCCGCGTCGGCTAGTTCCGGGCGAATTCGGTGACCCTTCGCGGGACCGTTCTCACGGAGAGAGCGCGCGGCCGCGGCCCGTTCCGCGATGGAAAAGTTGGAAACGGTCGTTGCGCGAAGTCCGGTTGCCCACTTGCCTGGAATTTCTCCGCGACCCACGGAGGGAGCCGCGTACGTAATTATGCAAGGAGGTGGCCACCCACGCGCGCCTTTTAAGAAACCAGGCCGAGACGGGTGGTCGCGGAGGGCCGCGGGGCGTCGCGGGGCACGGAGGCGCGTCGAGGCGCGTCGAGACGCGTACGGTGTACGGAGAGGTACCGATTGCGAGAGCAGCGAGTCGACAGGTGCGCGGAACCACCTGTGCGCTTCCACGGAGCTCGTCCGAAGACGCTGGCTCGAGTCTCGATTCGGCGAGGATTCGGGATTCCGAACGCGACATCGGTGCCCGTCGATTCGGGCGATCCGTCGGTTCCGCGCCACGCCTTCGCCGCAACGCGAGCGCTCGTCTCGTCGGATCGACGTAATTTATCGCGTTCCTCGCGTCGCCGGTCGCCCGCGGACCAACGGAATTGTTTCGACGCGATCGCGTCGAACGGAAACGTTTCCACTCGAGAATAATCTACACCGTGCACGGTCCATCGAACGGTTCTCGCCTTCGGGGAACAAGATTTGTCACTGGAAAACCGTTTTTCGCTGCATCGTCCGTCGCTGCCGGCCTTTCCCTCCTCCTTCGACCGCAAATTGCTCCCGCGGTCTGATTTATCGCGCGCGCGACTCGCCGCGCGCTTTTCAATCTCCGTCGCGAATCCGACGTAACGTTTAGCCCGGCTAATTGGCGCCGCGAGCCGATCCTCCGTAGCGCGAAAGATTCCGCGTCGACGCGGAACGGTCGCTCGTCCGAGCCTGGTCTCGAGTAAGTTATAAAGTCGGCGCGATAAAACACGGTCGTCGAATTTATTCGGACTTTTCGCCGGACCGGCCGAGGCGGACGCGAGCGCGAGTACCGGTCCGCTCGATTCCGCTCGTTCTCGCTCCTTCCTCCTCGGTCATTTCTCGTACTCTCCGCGGCGCGCGGTGAAATTTACTCGCGATCGGGAATAGTTCCGTGCGTGGAAGCGGTGTACACGTGGAAGCGCGCGAGACCGGTAAACGGAGCCAACTAAGGCCGCGCAACGGCCGCGTGGGAGAGGCCAGTTTCGATCTCGTTTACGAGATCTTATCCGCCGCGCGGGCTCGGCGGTGCACGCTCGGGAAAACGAGCGCTCCGGGATAACGCCGCGTCCTCGGAGCCGCGCGATTTCAGCGGAGAACCGAGACGCGCGACGAGTCGCGCAATTTTGCGAGAGCGCTTCGTCTCGTCGCGCGTCGGGGAAACGGACAGAGACGGGCTCCTCGCGTCGGCTCGGGCCGCGTCGCACCGGGGGCAAGGGCCCTGACTCGGATCGCGGCAACTCGATACGTCGGTTTCTGGGGCGTGGAACATCGTGTTCTTCGTGAGAATCTCGTCCCGGACGCGTTTTCACCGCTCGACCGTCGTGTCGCGCGTGACGGGGCCGCTTTGGATTCGTGTATGCACCACCGACCTGGTTGCGTACGGAACGAGAAACGAGAAACGAGAAAGGAGAAACGACCGCGGATAAACCTAGAAAAACGGTCTCTCTCTCTCTCTCTCTCTCCCTCTCGTTTCTGATGTAACAACGAATTTATTATCACCGCTGCCGCGGGTCGACTCCGCGCCGATCCGCAGCGAGCCGACGGGGAAATCGTTATTGGATCTGCACCGAGGAGAGCGTCGTTACATAAAATATCTATCGCCGAATTTCAATCGGTTTTGCGTAACAACGTGGAATCCCCGCGGATCCGATCGTTCCAACCGGCTGTAAAGTTTATTGTTTTCTGGCCGCCTATAAAAGCCGGTCGGAGCTCTCCGGTCTCGGTCCGCGGCGGGTGCCGGTTGAGGCCGGTTGAGGCCGGTTGAGGCCGGGATGAACACCTGCCAATCCGGTGGGTCTCGGCAGTCGGCTATTATTACCGGGTTTCTCGTACCTTTCTATCGTTCCGGCG